GGGTTTCAAGCTGTTCCAAAACCCTGTCATATAAGAGCGCCAACACGTAGGAACCTCAATTTGTTTGCGCCCCAAGTAACCTCAATTTTCCAGTGCCCCAAAATGTGTCAGTTGAACTGAAAGAGCGCCAAAGCATATGCATGCCAAAGAATAACTGCATCAAAAAATTTATTATACCCTAGCTACTGTAGGGTATTTCAAGAGATGTATGGCCATGCAAATTTTATCTACAAGTCCTCCTTGATGATGGTGTCCGGTTTGGTCGACTGGCCTGCTGTCGCCAGATTGATGCTATCGGGAGCCTTACCATGTGTAGTTTGTCTGCGCTGAGGTGCACTCAGTGGGCCCTTCTTCCGATTGCTGGCTGGTTTCTTCCTGGTGATGTCTGCATCGACCTCTTCATCAGCCTTCCTTTTGTGCCCAGTAGACATGTTTCGTTCATCTCCACTTAGCGGGGAAGCGGGGCGAGATCCAATGGCAGTAAGTGGAGAACCTGGGCCAACCTCAACCGGTGCGAGTTCTACTCCTTTGGTGTTGGGCACCATGGGACTTGAAGGGGCAGCAGGTGCAACTCCAGCAGTGGCAGTGGCCACCACTGATTGCTGTTTCACTGCGATGGGCGAGTGTAGCCATGAGGGTGCATTTGAAACAGGCGCTGGAGTTGATGGAGCGATGGTGGGCGCCATGTCAGTCCCATATGCTGCGCCAGGTGAACGTGGAGCTGCATCAGTGACAGTGGGCGCCATGTGAATCACATCTGCTGCGCTGGGCGAACGTGGACCTGGGGGCGACGTTAACTGACCCCTTTGAAAATCCTGGGCACAGGGCAGTCGAGCTTCGAGGACTTGGATCATCTCCTCCCACTTGGGTTTGGTGCACTCCAACAACTCCTTCACCTTCGCCACTGAGTCGTCGCTTTCCACCAATACCAGTGCACCCATCTCCTCCGGAAGATCAGTCATTTTCGTCACCAACTCTAGGAGCGCCGCATGGATGCCATTTCCAAGGAGGAAAAGGCTTTCCATCGTGAAGATCACCTTTTGCGTCGTCCAATCCTTGGTTGAGGTAACTGATTGCTCCATCTTCTTCAGCTTGAGGAGCAGTTCGGCCACGTCTTCCTTCTGCTCTTCGATGACACCATCAAGCTTCTCCCTTGTCTTCTCCACCTGGGCCGCAAGTCTCCTGCACTGTTTTTCAAGTGTGACGATGTGGTCCTCCATACGAGCTGGGCAATTGAATTGGTCAGTTGGATGGCTGGACTTCATTTGAAGAGATTTACCAATCTCAGTGGGCGCAGAGTCTGAGGGCGACACAATCGAGAGCTGGGCCTTTGGCTTGGCCTTTGGAGTGGAATCTAACAAAGACATTTCAGAGAGCATTGGGCATGGGGAGTTTGGCACAATATCTTTTACCTGGGGCTTCGACGGCCCTGCAACCTTGACCGCCATGGGTGCTTCTCGTTTGGGCGCTGCTTGTTTGGGCGCTGCTTGTTTGGGCGCCGCTGGTTTGGGCGCTGGTGTAGGCGCCGCGGCTTTGGGTGCCACAAGTTTGGGCATGGCATTTTTGGGCGCCGTGGCCTTGGGTGCGGCGGGTTTGGGTGTAGACTTTTTGGCCTCCTTGTAGAGCAGACCATCCTTGTAAAATGGATTGTCGATGATGGTCTGCTGCCTCAGTCGTGAATGGCCTGGGCATTTATGCCAAGACTCCTTGCAAGGAGCGCAGGCCTTGTTCAGATCTTGTTCATCAATGGCACTCCTTCCCAAAGGCATCGGCTCCCCACCAGCAAAAAAGCAAGGCTTCTTCATAGCGGTGCACTTGGTGCATGGCGTGGCGAACACATCCACGACAAGGTACCTCCTGATGCCATTCTCATCGATTGGATTCCTCTCTGGGTCATAGGCATACTCAAACAAAACTGGCCCGTTGAAATCGAGTTGGTCATGTCGGCCCCAATAAAACGGCCCCCGTTTTCCACCTTTCCCTCCTTTCTTTCGGGACGCCCCAGCCTCCTTCTCATCCCTCTCCAACCACCGAGCTTCTTTCACATAGCGATCAGTTGTTTTCAGCGGCTCAAACTCCTCATCGTCAATGGCTTGCTGGAGTGTTGCAGAATCCCAGACGATGGGATCGGTGGGATCAGTGGGGAAATGGAGCACTAAGTTCTTCTTCAGCTGGCCTTCTTTCGCCGGGATGAGGTCATAGAGTTCAGGCACCTTCTTTTTGCCTTTGGGCGCGTCCTCTTCATCGTCGTATTCATCATCGTCCTCTTCAACTTGCGCCCTCTTTGCCTCCTTTTTCTTCTTCACCGCAGGCGCCTCCTCATCAATCTCCACCCATGCAACGGCTTTCCCCTTTTCCTTTGTCGCTGGTGCCTCCCCACCCTCGTCGCTCTCCACAACCTCAGCACTTTTCGCCTTGACTCGCCCCTTGCCTTTCCCCTTTTTTGACTTCATCGAGGGTGCCTCCTTGTCGGTCTCCAACTCGGCACTTTCCAACTTTCTTTTTTGCGTGACTTTGGGTGCAGTGGGCTCAACCAGCATATCTGGAGGAGCGTGGTGCCCCAAAGCAGTCACGGCTGCAGTCTTCAACCTGTCCAGGTCATTCAGTCTCTTGTCGTGAGGTCCTGGCATCATCATGGCAATTTGGCGGCCAGGGTTAGTCGGGTTAGTCTTTGGCGTGAGGTCCAGTTTGCTTGTCTTTGACGGTGGGAGAAAATGTTTTATTACCGCAATGAAGGGATCCGCCGCGAAATGGGTGGGTGAATGGAGGGTAGCTTCTTGGATCATTGTGTCGCACTGTTGGGCGAGTGGAAGCAAGGGGTCGAACGTGGGTGTAACAGCGGCTTCAGCTGCGAGGAGAGTATTGATCTCGTCCTTCAACATATCAGCTTTGACTGTAAGGTAAAAGCAAACTTTACTCACAACGATGTTCAACCACTCATCCACATCTCTAGTTGGAATGAGCTGTCCCGCAC